AATAATTCATTTAAATATGTGATTAAGTCACCTCTAGTTCTTCAATATGACAATGGGAATAGGTTCAGCTTAGCCAGTGGAGCATCATACGGAAGCCTCGTTATTCCTGGAATCAGCTTAGTTGCTGATCTTTAAACGTTTTTCAAAAGCTCACTGTATTTTTTAAGAAGGGGCTAGACGATTGTATGCAATACTGGAGTTTAGGACAAACGAATACTGTATATAAAGTCGAAAATGATTTTAACATCAACATGGCTAATACGTCTACTTCCGAAATGTTTAATTCGTAAGGTGAATCTTGAGACGTTCGCGAGGTTCTCCAACAAATTTTAATGTCTTTAATCTATTCTACATAGATGCAGTTTCATCAGACCCATATAACAGAAGTCCAATATTAGCTAAACAGTTACTTCAGGCAGTTACCTTGTTAAGTTTGTTCAGACGAAGTATCAGTGCGTACCGCTTGAATGTACCTTAAGGATCTCGCGATAGAGATACAGAGGATTAGAATTTTTAAAATAATAACTAAACTTGTTAATGCTAAATTTTAATAATCCAAACAAGATATAATTGTTCTGTTATCTAGAGTCCCTAATTATGAGCTCTACATGGATTAAATTCCAACAACCCTGAAACCTCAAAGCCTCGGCTCCTGACCCTTAATCAGTAAGGCCCTCATTAATGTACGACTTTTGAGCAAACACGAAGTAAAATTGAGGATACCCGCCTAGATCACGAGTCTAAACCGACATCAGCTATGATGACATAATTGCTAATCAACCACAATGACGCATCAATTTCGTGACAAAATCCAAGACGTGTTATATTAAATCCTTACCCCTTGATTAGTACGTAACCTCATTTGTTATTTATCCTCGAATCCATTTTGGTGATGCAATTTTTTCTATCCTCCGATAGACATACATTTTCCATATACCTAAATATAAGAATGTACAGCTTAAGTAAATGATTTCGACGAAAAGAAAATTTTCTTCGCTGAATTATCTTTTTCTTATTCAATGACACTATGGCTTATTTTAATTATCTAAATCTGATTGATTTGTTTATAAATTATATTCTAGTCCTAAAAACTCCAAGGCATTTGTTCTTAGTCCCAACACTTCCTACCCCTAGAACCAAACTCTAAAACACCTGAACCCAGGCACACTAAATGATGAGCTTCGAATCTGTTCCTTGTTGGCACATTATATTTAACTTTCAAATTTTACATTTGATGTTTTTGTATTCATGGACTTTTTACACCAGTTATAGATTTTATCTTCATTATAATGGAAACAATACATGAAATGTTGAAGCTTAAGACTCTCCCACCCATCTTTCAACTCATGACATTTTGTACTGATAATAACTAAGTCTTGTTCTGCTACTCGCATGTACAATTCCTCAAAGTAGTTAGGAAACTGCTGCGCAATTTTAACTCGTATTTTCATTAGTGGTGTTTTCGAACTACAAGACAACATAAAAAGGCTGTAAATAGACGCGTAGACCTTACCAACCAACGAAGATTAGACCAGTTCTCCCACAATATAGAATTGTAACACAGCTCTGCAAATAAATGTTACTACGTACGAAGAAGGTTACTGGTTAACAGACAGTATACAGAGGCATCTTCAGACAGAGTAATTGTATGTAATTTACTGTAAGTGAGATTTTCAATGGTTGTCATTAGTTTGTTTATGGATTACGGAAGCTATTCAGATAAACACTTTGTATACTCGGTGAATGTAGAGCAACTTTGGACGGATTTTGAACTCAAAGTACTTTCTGGAAATTATAACCATAGTGATTTGGTTGGTTTTGAATTTTCTTTGACTTCAAAATTCAATTAAATTTGCTACATCATTGTTTGGAGTTACTACGCTGTCACATGGTGTAGGATTTTCATTGTGATGCACTTTTTCTGAATTTGAGTTAGTTATTTGTGAGTAGTGCTCTCATTCCGGTCTATTGACGGAGGACTTTGTAAACTTTGATTATGATTGTATCATCTGAACACAGTGATTTCCATCAGTTGGTCAGTCAGCTACAACGTGAGACCAGGCATATATATGCATCACTCCAAGTTACCACACCTAATTAGCACACCAAGATGAACACCAAATCCATAGAAATAGTCACTTCAATGGTAGTAATGTATAAAAGAAAGATTGCGTATAGGGATATAATACGGGAAGAAAGAATTAGTTGGCAGAAAGAACGGTATAAAGCAATTTCGATCACACGGTTTAACGAAAGACAAAGAGTGCATACATCTATACCATTGTGATCGATTCTGAGCCATGTCACCTACAGTCACTAACTATTGGTTACGGTAGTCATGCGGATCTCAACCAAGTAGTATGCATATACCAACATGTCTGAGACAAGAAGTTAGTGACTTCAACGACTGGTGCAACATTTTGTTTTGGCCGCCCCTAACTTTATTCCGGGCATCTCCAACACTAATCAGCATTGCGCCTCGTGGTAAGCAGTGTTCAGGCATACGTAACACATGACCCAACCATCTCAGTCGATGGAGATTTACAACCTCATCCACTGATTTACCATCATTACTTAATACCCTGAGTCTAACCTCACTAACACTTACCCGATGATCCCAGCAGATGCGAGCAATATTTCTAACACATTTGTGATCAAATACTAGTAGCTTACGAGTATCTTTTACTCTTAATGGCCACGTTTCGCAAGCGTAAAGTAGAACAGATCGAACTGCCGCACAATATTCTCGTCTTTTTATTGATAGACGGATATGTTGCTCCCATCACAGGCGACGTAATTATATGTGAAAAAGCTAACTTGTCTGGACGAAACGTTGGAATAATTTTAATTTCAATCGCTGAGATGATCTCAAATATAATTTTCACACATAATGACTTCTCTATATTTGGCGCCCAATTTCTGTCAAACTATTCGTTCTCATCTTGACGAATATTCGTATAGGTAACGTAAGTTGGAAAATGCCAAACGAGCAGAGATCTCGATGGAGTTTTGTTCTCTGAGCTGGATGGTTTGGTCGTGGAGCTTTTATCGTTCTTCTGAACTACATCATCAGCACAAACTTCAGATAGAAGTGAATTGTTCGAATTTCTCCATATGCATTTCACAGCTTGTTCTGTACACCTCGACGCTGATTGGATGAAATAACAAAGGAAGACAAATCAAACATCATCTACAAAATAAATTGTTCCGATTACGAAAAACTTTACATCGGACAAAGCAAACGCCCTCTTCACCTTCGCCTACATGAACATCAATTAGCAGTGAAACGCTATGATACTTCCTAACTTATATCAATACACGTGGACAACTGCGGACACTCATTCGATTGGAAAAATGTGGAAATCTTGGACAGAGGAAATTGCAAAAACACCAGAGAATTTTTACAATCGTGGCACTCAAGTCAATCAGCAATCAACAAGCACATTGAAATGGATCCAATTTATCAACCAATCAGAAAAATTATGCACAAATATAGGAACAAAAATCAAACCAATGGGTGACACAACCAAAACAAAGAAGTAAACAATGACAAATTTAAGGTCAATAAGAACCAATCAACATCGAGGTGTACAGAACAAGCTGTGAAACGCATATGGAGAAATTCGAACACTTCACTTCTATCTGAAGTGTGTGCTGATGATGTAGTTCAGAAGAGCGATGAAAGCTCCACAACCAAACCATCCAGCTCTGAGAACAAAACTTCATCAAAATCATCCACCTGAGCTACAAATTTTCTCCATCATCTCAAGAGCTGAGATTTCGTCAGGCATTAATCCATTACGGCTGATCAGACTCAAAGATAAGTGGAGCTGTCGATGCATCCGACTAATTCACTCCCTATCCTTAGTTCAGGTGTTGACGCAGTCCTGTCCTGAAGCAACAACGTGCATTTAGAGGGAGAGTCAGTCAGTCAGTCAGCTACAACGTAGGACCAGGCACATATATGCATCGGTCCAGGTTGCCATACCTCGTTAGCACAGCAAGATGAACACCGGATTCATAGGAGTGGTTAGGTTAAAGGTGGTAATATATAGGAGAGAAACGCATTCCAAACATCCTGACATTGTTACTCAGTGTCACCATAAGATCGTGCATTTTATCAGCGTCTTCACCAAAACAGAATTATGTCATCTGCGTATTCTAAGTCGATAAGTGAATCTCCTAGTAGGAGATCAACTCTTAAAAATTCAGTCGACGAGAACGTTTTTTCCAGCAGTAGGTCTATGATGAAATTAAACAGAAATGGAGATAGTGGACAACATTGATGGACACCACTTGAGATTACGAGGTCAGTTCACGACAAGCTCGACTCAACTGGTAGTTTTTGAGCAGAGTCTTCACAAAGTTTATGTACTTCTGAGGTACACCCTTCAATGACACATTGCCACAAAACCTCTCGGTCTACAGAGTCAAATACTGCTTTTAAGTCAAGAAAAACTAGCATTGCAATAAATAAAGTACAGCAAAATATTAAATTTTGCAAACATTTTCAGAAGTGTGAATTTTCATACTGACAGTGGTGTTCGCAAGTTTTGTACGTACATAAAGGATTGAGAATTAATACAAGGAAATTTCCAATAAATAAACGCTTTGCCAATAAGAGATTTCGACGTAATTGTAAAAGAAGGAGTGAACACGAGTTATGTAACTTAGATACTCATCGAACACATAAATCTCGACAAAGCTGAGCTGAGAGTTAACATGTTGAATTCTCTTAGTAAGTATATCTTCACGAGAAGAAATATACATTAATGTAATTACTCTTCTCAGTTGACAGTAAAATGATTCTTACCGTATTATCCATTGTAGAAGAAATATTTTCCACATATAAATTATTTTTCGAACTGTTTGGTGCTTCTATGAGTCTTTTGTCACCTGACTGCAAGATGTTGCTATTTGAAGATGAAGACACCATGACAGATGTATGTGTATCAAATAAAGGGACTACATGAGAAGCTTGTGAATTCTGCATTAATGGGATGTATGAAGGAGTAGTTTCGAATGCTGAGGTTTTCTCACTTCCAGAAGAGACAACTGTAAGTGAATTAATAGTAGGAGGAGAAACAACTACTCCAGAAGACACACTTATTACTGGGAACGCTGAAAGCTTCAAGCGATTTTGTACATAATCTGAATCGTTCTCGGCAATCTGGCTATTGCCCATATGAATTTGAATATTTTACCATTACAATTATGTATTTGGTGATTCTTATTTTACATAAACATCGATGTTTCAAAAACATTTTCCATTCACATTTTTACTTTTACTACTAATAAACAAAAAGCAAATTAACACTTAATATCAACTATTAATAAATCAAACTCACAAACAAACAAGCATAATATCCCACTTACTAAAATCAGAATCTGAATATGAGCACAGCATAGATTTAATTTAACTGTTGAATATTAAATATTGTTTGATATTTTTGATTATTACCCTGAAGAAGTGAAGACAAGTCTGCTGGACAAAACTTTGAAATATTTAGATTCCAACCTCTGAGATCATTTCATATATAATCTTTACAAGTAATTATTCCCAGTAGATTTTCATCCAATGGGTTTAGATTATATTATCATTATCACTGATGGATAACTTCCGTGCTCTCTACTCACATTATGACTGAACCGATTGCTTTAATAATTAAATCCTTGAATCTAGATCTAAACTTTAGCATCGTTAAACTTCAGTCGAATCATAGTATTTCAGACAAGTCAGTTTGTTATTCGTTGAGCTTCCATTTTAGTTGTTTGTATAGGTTCCATTATATTACCGTTCGGTAAAGTAATTCATACAATTGTTTACAACTGGGATGTTTTATTATATACAACGTTACATTTAAATAATGATGTAAACATTTAGATATTCATTTGTCTTAGGCTAAATTACGTGGTCAAGTAGCAGCGGAACAGGAGCGTTTACTAGTTTCCAAAGACTCTGAGATTCAGAGACTACATACCGAAATAGACAAATTAAGATCGGAAATCACGAATGTCAAAAAGCGAAACACTCAGATTGTTGAAGAGCATGATCAAACCTTGCAAAGTTTAACAGATGCTCAGAAAACAATCAAGTCCAATGAAATAAGTAAGTTATGGAAAACTGACTACGCTTTATCTTTATATAACGAAAGAACAATCAATATTTTATCGTACATAATGTACTCATATGTATGTATACCACAGCTCGCGTTGAAATTCTTCATTTTTAGTTTTGTGCTTATTTGACCGATTTCATGGTGTAAAACTATCTTTCCTGATATTCATCTTTATTAGAGATAGTATCTGCTATCACCTCTTAGTGAGAAATTACCGAAATAGTGCACCTACATTTTATAATCTTGAGCAGGTCTATTTAAACGCTTGACGGCCATCTATGCATGTCACTTATTGCGAAATCAACGGATTTCTGTAAAGTATGAAAAGTCTCAAAATGATAATTTTGAAATCAGTGGTGTGTGTGATGTGTTTTTAGCAAGTATCATTTACATTTTGCATTGGATTCTAAAATTATTATTTCGTTGGAAATTTAAGTAGCGTGATGTAGTAATTTTATATTTTTAAATCTCTTTCTTTATCCAAACTATTATGTTATGTCATACGTTTAGTAGATTGAGAATTAATTCAATGAAATCTATTATCCAAAAAAGAATCGGTGCAATGAGAACTTGAGGATGGGTCTTAATATCTTATGGTGCAAAAAATTTGTTGTATTTACATTTCACAATGACAACAGGAAATGTAGCCTATACAAATTCAAGAATTCAGATGATTGACTAGATATTATGATTACAAATTAGTGTGAATTAAAAATGAACAGCTTGAATTGTTCATTTAACTTTTCTTTTCACAAATATTCAATCATAATTCGGATTGATCTTGATAGTTTTTTATACATTGCTAGTTAGTTGTTCTAACTCACTATGAATGGCCGATTGTTGAATACTATTTAAATGCTAGTCTTCTATCATAACAGCCAGATATCATGATATTGATCATTAATACTTAATTTTATGTAATTAATTTAGATCGTCTGATGATTTCAACTGTGAAAATACTAGTCTCCACAAATGCTTCTACTTATAACAATCATGTGGTCACTGGTGAATAGCTTAATGATGTAACTCTTGGAGTTTCAGTAAGAAGCCGTGACCATCGGAGTCCAATCTGTGTAAGGTGTGAGACAGTTATCCACCTCAGGCAATGGATGAAGGTTGCGCAAGATCATGAGTTGATTGAAGTTGAATGCTGGCTTGGCGGTTTCGAGCTTAAGCGTTCGTGCGCACGACTGAAGATCCTAGATTCGAGTCCCGCGTGCAGGATCTTGGATGCTCACTGCTGATAAGACCCGTATTAGTACGGATCGGTCGTCCATTGATTTCATGTTTTCAATGGTGATCTGGCTTAGATCGACTCGTGAGTTCAACTGTGAAAATGCTGCTTTCTCTACAAATATCCAAACTGAGTTAATTTTGTATTAATTCAAATAGGCTGGATATGTTCATCTGATTTTCACTATTTTTTCGTCTCAGTGTGTTATTCTCTTTCGTATTTGTCAAAAATTATTGGTTGGTATCTTGGAAAGCAGTGAAAAAATCCCTCTGATATATCTTTCACTTAACCAGAACAAAATACATCGAAAAATTTAGAGTACCAGTAATACTTCTTGTACTGAAAAGGTTTTGAGTGTCTTGGTCACCATAACATAGGTAATCCACAAAATTGAATCATTATTTTTGTAATTCACAACCCTAAATTTAAGTGAACCATTCATTTACTGATCATAGATTCTTGTTCTGTGCTTTTAAATTTCGCTTTAGTTATGAAGATTAGTAACACAACTTGGTTGCTAGATCTATGTCGGTTTGAGGGAGTTCAGACCTGTAGTCTAGTTATCAACGGTCGAGCCATAGTACCTCAAGCATAGCGTTAGTGGTAGAAACTTTATAAATAAAAATTTTTCCCGATTTTCAAAAATCTGTGAATTTCGAGCTTTAGTTTCCTATTCTGTAAGAAGTTAATTACCAACCTGTATCCATAGATGATATGCTTACAAGTACCTAATAACACTCTTATTTGTAAATCTATATTGATATCACATCTTTTGTCCATTCATTTTAAATACACTAGTTAGTTATAGTGTTACTCTTAATACTCTCGTATTCAGTGTTTCTGTAATTATCACTAGATTTACACCTACGACGTTATAAATGTATTGTCTTTTTTCTAGAGATCGTGACAGACAATTTATTTCTTCATGCATTAGCTCGAGTTGAATAGGTGCTTTTGTTAGATATATTGACATTTTGTGTTGATAAATAGAAATCTGCAATGTGAAATTTTAGAATATTATTATTTTTTCTTCCATCGTTGTTATTATTCTTTTGATTCCCATCACATGTATGACTACTTCTACTCTTTCCCTGTTTACCGTATTATGGTAAAACGTTCCATTTGTGTGGAATTTCTTGACATTACAGATACGCCTGAGTTATTGGTTATTAAAAATCAGTTGAATATAGTGTAAAATGAAGTCATTTAAAGAAAGTATAACCAAATTACAGAACACTAGATTTATATGACTATTACAAAACTTGAGACATTTCCTTTTTCACAAATATAATTAATATGCGGTTGGTTACGAACACCTTGATTGGATCTTTTGTGGCCAACAGATGCGCATATTACTCAAAAATCCTTGCATAAAAAGAACAATTTTACTTTGTTTATGCTTGTCTTAAAGTTTACCAAACTACCTTTTTGAACATTTATGATAATGTACAGAGGATTTCGTCACCTAAGAAAACTATTGGAACCATAACAAAGTTTTTTAATAATAATAATGATATCAAACAATAAATTGGTGTTTCGTTTAACTAATATAAGGATTTTTATCAAGAACATGATTATTCTTTAATTTTACTAAATGTTTCGCAGTTATCGCTTGGTTGAATCGCCAGATTGCCGAGAACGATTCAGATTATGTACAAAATCGCTTGAAGCTTTCAGCGTTCCCAGTAATAAGTGTGTCTTCTGGAGTAGTTGTTTCTCCTCCTACTATTAATTCACTTACAGTTGTCTCTTCTGGAAGTGAGAAAACCTCAGCATTCGAAACTACTCCTTCATACATCCCATTAATGCAGAATTCACAAGCTTCTCATGTAGTCCCTTTATTTGATACACATACATCTGTCATGGTGTCTTCATCTTCAAATAGCAACATCTTGCAGTCAGGTGACAAAAGACTCATAGAAGCACCAAACAGTTCGAAAAATAATTTATATGTGGAAAATATTTCTTCTACAATGGATAATACGGTAAGAATCATTTTACTGTCAACTGAGAAGAGTAATTACATTAATGTATATTTCTTCTCGTGAAGATATACTTACTAAGAGAATTCAACATGTTAACTCTCAGCTCAGCTTTGTCGAGATTTATGTGTTCGATGAGTATCTAAGTTACATAACTCGTGTTCACTCCTTCTTTTACAATTACGTCGAAATCTCTTATTGGCAAAGCGTTTATTTATTGGAAATTTCCTTGTATTAATTCTCAATCCTTTATGTACGTACAAAACTTGCGAACACCACTGTCAGTATGAAAATTCACACTTCTGAAAATGTTTGCAAAATTTAATATTTTGCTGTACTTTATTTATTGCAATGCTAGTTTTTCTTGACTTAAAAGCAGTATTTGACTCTGTAGACCGAGAGGTTTTGTGGCAATGTGTCATTGAAGGGTGTACCTCAGAAGTACATAAACTTTGTGAAGACTCTGCTCAAAAACTACCAGTTGAGTCGAGCTTGTCGTGAACTGACCTCGTAATCTCAAGTGGTGTCCATCAATGTTGTCCACTATCTCCATTTCTGTTTAATTTCATCATAGACCTACTGCTGGAAAAAACGTTCTTGTCGACTGAATTTTTAAGAGTTGATCTCCTACTAGGAGG